GATTATTTTATAACAAATTAATAAATACTAAATTAAGAACAAGTTTAATATGTATTAGCGACTTCCATGGGCTTGTCTTGCAGAGCAAAGTTTTTCAAAGGAATGCTTATGATTGGAAATTGACCATCTGAGTTATTTTTCTATATTTAGCTTATATCTATATTTTTCCTTCTAAGCAACCACTGCATTTTGCAATATGTTCCAATTTAAAAATTAGAGAAAGGAAAAATAATATAATAAATATACTATTACTTTTTTTGCTTAAAAGTAACATATGCAAAATTTAATACTTTTGTCATGAATTTGTACGGTTTATAATAAAAATTGTTGCTTTAGCGTCCAAGTGCATTATTATTGCATTCAGTATATTATTAATGTGTAAGGGGGTGCGATAAAAATCGTGATTATAAAGGGGGGCGCCAGTATTGGAAGATTGAGAAGCACTGCCATAGATGCAGATTTAAGGGAACAAATTTTAAAATTGGACCCATACCAACCGGAGGGTAATTTTCAAAAAGATGCCAAGGGAAGGAGCTATTCACCATCTTATTATAGTTTCATATCCAAAGCAGGGCAAAAGATTGAAAGGAAATGGCTGTGCTATTCAACACGACTTCATGTTGCTTACTGTCAGGTATGTTGGCTTTTCACTGATAGAACAAATATGTATTTTAAAGAAGCCCGGTGTAAAGGTGTGAATGACTAGCAAGGAATATAAAAAAACCTAAAGTGCATGGAAATTCTATAATTCACATCCAAGCATGTCGAACATATGACATCTGGAAACTAAATAAAACGGTGGATCCATTATTGAAATGCAATTTTAATGAAGAACTTAACAAGATTAACCAAATCTTACGAAGAATCATAGACGTTACAATGACTCTAGCGATGTGCAATCTTCCTTTTCGGGGACATCGAGAGACTCGAGATTCGACTCAAAGGGAAATTTTTTGAATGTAATAGACCTCTTGGCTAAATATGACCCTCTTCTCAATGTTCATTTGTGAGAAAAAAGAATTCAAAAATATCTTAGCCCAAAAATTCAAAATGAACTTATTGCTATTATAGGCTCTAGAATAAAAGAAAACAATGTTAAAAATATAAGGAAATGTTCTTTTTTCTCTATTATTCTGGACACGACACAGGGTATTTAAAAAGACCAATTAAATATTATAATAAGGTAAGTAACAACTGATAATGATAATAATGAGCCAGATAATAGCAGAATTAACGAAACGTTGTTAGGCTTTAATGAGGCAGCAAATCAGACTGCAAAAAGTTTGAAAAGTGATGTGTTAATTTTTTTAAATACACTGGCCATTAATTTGGCGAAGTGTGGAAGACAAGGATATGATGGGGCAGCCAATATGAGGGGAGCGTATGGGGGATTACAGAAATTAATAAAGGACAAACAACCAACAGAAAATTACGTTCGTTGTTCAACACACAACCTCAATCTTGTTCTAAACAATGAAAGCAATAACGTGCCTGATGTAAGATAATTTTATGACTTTTGTCAAAAAATTTACTCATTTTTTGGGCTTAGCATTAAAAGGTGGAGTGATCTGAAAATTGTGCAGAATAACGAGAACATTCAGAAAACTATTAAATTATTATGCACGACAAGTGGGTCATCACGATTTAACTCTGCAACATCAATTCGCTACAATTTCATTTCAATTTTAAAAGTACTTTCAAATATTTTACGACCCGTACTAAGGAAGACGAGAAACAGAAAGATTTAGCGATTAAAAATGTATGGAAAAGTTTCAATTTGTTTTTTTGTTCCGTGATTACGTATAAATGTAATAAAATCATTGGATTTACTGAGAAAAGAGAAACAGCTACTACGATTCAATGTTTCTATACTCTTCTTTATTGAGTAAAAATAAAGAAATAACATTATTGAACCCTGTAAAGAGCATGAATGCTGAAGACTTGCATTTTATGACTTCAGAAATTTTGTCACTAATGGAAAAGGTAGGTTTTACAGTTGGTTGCATTGTAAGTGATAATAACAAAGTGAATAGAAATTGTTTTTCTAAATTGTGTAATGGTACCATAAAGAGTGTTATTAAGAATCAAGCTAATAATGAAAAAAATTGCATCTTATTTTTGATTCAGTACATCTTATCAAATGTATACGAAATAATTGTTTAAATCAGAAAGATGCTGATTCTTCTTTAATGTATCCTGACCCTTCAGAATTTTCTCAAATTCGAAAAGCATCTTTTTCCTCCTTATTTAAAATTTATAACGAAGAAATGAACATTATTATTGAATTAGCTCCTAAATATGTTTAAGAGTTTTAAAACCAACAATTTTTGAGAAACAAAATGATACATTAGTTTTAAAATTTTTTGAAGAAAGCAATGTGACTGCACTTAATATATTAAAAGATAAATTAGGCTACCCGGAAATGTTTAGGGACACTGCAAGATTCATCAAACATTTTTTAGATTTCTGGCAAATAATGAATATTAAAAATGCAACTAAGGGTGAAAATTTTATATTGAAAAACAATGTTCCTTTTTCAACAATGGATGAGGATAGATTAACTTTTTTTTTCAAAATATGTTCAGTGCCTGGACTGCTGGAAAAAATTAAAACAAAATAAAGAGAAGGTTCTTTAAGCGAGGAAACAATTTTTGCTTTGAGGCATACGGGAAATACCATCCAGGAACTAATAAAGTATCTTCTGACGGAGCAGAATTTCAAATATGTTTTAAACTGGGAAGTTCCAAACTGATAATTTAGAAGCATGATTCGGGCAATACAGATACATATCTGGAGTAAATTATTATGCCACTGTGCAGGAAATTTTGCAAGCTGAAAAAAAGTTGCACATTAAAAATGTGTTAATTTTGCACTCACATAAATATTGTACTATCTCACTAAAAAAATTAATTTAAAATCATTCAGGTGAGATATTTCATGTTAAAGTAGATATTACAGATTTCAATGAAATATTAAACATTAGAAATAAATCAGATGATATTTCAATAGAAGAGTATCAAGCTTTAATGTATATAGCGCGACAGTTATGTGCATAATATAAAATTCGAATGTTCCGATTGCAAGCATACATTTGTTTTAGATAAGCATATTAATTTCGACTCGTAAAATATCGAAGGAACAAAATATGTGAGACTTCTTGATAGAGGAGGTTTAAAAATGCCCACAGATATTGTTATGAAAGTCATTTCAACGCAATATTTATTTAATTTTTAATTTGTTTACATCGAAAACATTCGAATCGAAGTTTCTTAAAATTGATTGCGAATGATCTTGCATTACAAGCAAAACAGAAGCGTATCTGGAATTACACGAGTTGTGGAATGTCTTGCATTCGTTTCATTCACCTTGTGTAAATTTAAACATCCCTGCATTTTCCTATTTTAAATAAGTATTCGTTACATTTGGGAATATATGCTTAAATAATTATTCAAAAAAAGCGCAGTGAAGAAATTTTAACCGTGGAGGATAGCCGAAAAATGAAGAAATTTAAGGCCAATTAAATTAATGTTTGCTTTTTATATATGTTTCTGTTTTATTTATTTAAACATTCAATTATCGATTCAAATGTTATTATTCATTGTGCATGTATATACTTGTAATTTTTTATGCTACATACATTTTATGAACATGTTTAATTGTTTATATAACTATAATTTGAAGAAAAATTATTTATTTATTTACGTAATTCGTTTAAATTATTTTCAAAAAGATTTTAGCATTCAAAGTATGTAAAATGTTATTTTTTTAATTTCAAAACTTTTGCTTGATTTTTAGATATTTATACCATAGCATAATGTTGAACTTTAATGCATATGCATAAAAATAATGTAGTTAATAGTTGAAATAATATCATAATAAATGCAAATTTTTGAAAATTTGAAACTAATCAGTACGTTGCATCATTAATGATATATTCCATTAAATGTTTTATTTTCTGATTATTTATAAGTAAGTGTATTTAATAATGTATATATATTTTCAACGTTCTATACTTGCTATATAATTATTATGAAGTGTAAACTGTTCCTGTCATATGCATTTTTTATGTAATAATATGCCTCAAATACTTTTTTTCCTACTTACTTTACGAGTAAATGTTTCTTTTTTATTTAATTGGATTGAAATTATTTTATGTTTTTAAATATTGAATGAATGGATTATTTTAATTGAATATTTTAACATATAATGTAGAATCTATTTTTACTCTATAATTACTGTGGTGTCTAAAACTGTTTGTCATTTCTGTATTTCTACATATTTTTGCATGCATTTTTTATAATTATTTCTTTTGTTATTATTCATTTATTCTATGAGCATAAAAATATGTCATTTCACAGGAAAAAGGAACTCTAGCAAAATATTTCTAAATTTACATGATTTTTTATTAATATGCCTTTATGCTCTACTTTTCAAATTTTCTTTGCAAGTAAATGTTTTTGTAAATTTATCTGATTGCAGTTATTTTACATTGAGTTAGTTTTTTCTTAGATTTTTCTTATAATGTTTGGAGCCTTTCATGAGTGTTTTTGTCCCTTTTTCCGGGCCAATATTATGCATCATTCTAGCATTTTAATACTATACTTTCATCAGAAAATAATCTAAGGGAGAATTAAAAAAATAATCAATATAAATGCGGAAATTTTAGTCTATGACATGAAAAGAAATAAATGTTTAAACATTTATGTTCCTCACAGAGCGAATGCGCGTAGAAAAACTTTCCCTCCTTTGGTGACGTCATCAAAACTCTGTCGCGGCCTGGTCCTCTAGAGATGACCTTGGTATAGCTCAGTGGTAGAGCATTCGACTGCAGATCGAGATATCCCCGGTTCAAATCCGGTGTCCTCTTATTCAGGGAAGTGAAGAGAAATGTATTTTGAGGATTTCTAAGGCGGGAAAGATCTGTCCCGTTCTGTGTATTTCTAGACAAAGCATTTTCGTATCCGTTCCTACGGAACGCAAAGCAAAGGCTCGTTAACATGGGGAGTAAAATTTAGTGGTAGAGCTTTCGACTGTGCAGATCGAAAGATCTCCGGTTCAAACCCGGGTGTCCTCTTTTCAGGGAAGTAAGGAGAAAAGTATTTTGAGGATTTTCAAAGTGGGGAAGATCTGTCTCGTTCTGTATATTTCTAGAAAAGCATTTCCGCATCCGTGGTGGTGTCCGCCACATCCGTGCGCGCACGCATCGTAAAAATTTACGCTCCTTCTATTTCTCGAACCCCCAAAAAGAAGTATAACTTCAAAAATGATATAAATGTATTTTTTATTCCTTATTGTGATGAGAAATAACAAAAAAATTGACAATCATTGTGTTTTCTGATAACCATCTAAAAGAAGCCTACGTCAAGAAATTCTAATTTGCAATTTTTAAAAAAAATTATTTTTGCCTCATTTTTTACCCTGACGTTTAATTTAAGAAAAATGTTGCAAATATTTTAAAAAATGCACAAGTAAAAGAATTTTAACACTTTAAACTTTTAAAATTACACTTTTTTGTTAATTAGTTAATGATTTTTTTCTCGTCTACGAATTCTACTGCTATACAAAAGTTCAAAAATTGGAAGAGAATTGCATTTTTTATATATTTTTTTATTTTAAAGTCCTACATAACCATTGAAAAGATAAGAATGACACCTTAAGATAGTAAATAAAAGTTAAAACAATCTAAATTTGAGTTGTGACCACGTGCAAGGCATATTTCAATAGTTTTTCAACAACAGACATTATCATAGATACCGGATTAGGTTTAGAGATGTTTAGAGAAGAGTAAGACTATGTGTTGTAATGTGCAACTTATTTGTTTTATCTATATTTAGTATATTTTTTCCCTTTAAGTAGAATCTCATTCTAAGTTTCTTCTGTAGTTTAGAATTGCAAATACATTTCGTCAACAAAAGAATTATTAATATAAAATCATTGCAATTAGCTCACTTAAATACTGGGGATTTTCTAGAAACTTAATCCTGATAAGTCTTTAAACACTGACAAACTTCTTAAAATAAAATGGTTTTTCCGCTTATGGTTATAATGATATTTTGAAATAAATGAATTTTTTATAAGTTCTTATTTTCAGATATATAAGCTTATTAACATGTTGGTGGATTTAATGATACAATTGATTATTATAATGGATTTTATTTATTTTAAAAAATGTATTTCTTAATCTGAACAACTTTAAAAAATATTATCACAATACTGTTTTCAGCACAGTAAGACCTTGTGGAAGCATAATTCACCATAACAATAGAAAATTCCATACATTGTTAGTGAGTAAGGCGCGCAAAACGGCATCCACTGTACTATTAATATGAGCACAGCAGCTACGAAAAATTTTATCTTCAGTCATTTTAAGAGTTTTGTTGATTTATGTGTTTATTATTCGAAGGTTGATGATAATTTAATGGATAGGCTGCTTCTTCTAGATGTGTGAAATAAAAGTTTTTGCAAAATAATTAAGTGAAAGTGCAATTAATTGATTTATATCATCATTTTTTAATGAGCAATAACTCTATTTTGTTGTTCTTAATTAATTGATATGGATTGTTAACAATAATAAAGAAAACAAATTTCAATGTAAAAACCTATATACTTTGGCCATCACATAAACATTTCAGTTTAGTTATTTTATAATAAATAATTAAAATTAATATAAATATGCATATACGAATGTCAGAATCACAATATTAAGTCGCAATTAATGTTTATTAATTGTCATTAAAGCATCGTCTTGTCATTCAAAGCAATATATAACATTTCAGATCAACTAAATGCTTTACATCGTGACAAAATATTGTTACGAATTTTGTGTAAATAGTGTAAATAATTTGTATTTGAGTGTTTAATGCATTTATATTACTCTATGATATATTTGTTCCATGTTAAACTTGTACTATTCACAAGCAGTGCCACCCCTTACGTTATAATGGCGATTGAATGAGAACTTGGCGAAATCTTGGCAGTAGAGCCAAGTTGGCGACTTTGGCGAACATTTTGGCGTCAGTGGCTACCTTGTTGGTGAGTTCGAATCCCTCTGGAATCTTCTAGAAAGTAGTAGATCTCTCCACTGGTGTCACGTTCAATAACACGAGCGGTTATATTTCTAGAAGTTTCTGTCGCGCATATAAAAAGGATGCTCGCCGGTACGGCGGGGATTCTTGATTAAGCCAGCGAGTAGTGAGGATTGTTTCTACTAGCGATTAGCTCGTCTGTGCTTGTGAATAATCTTTATTTACATATATTTTTAAACACTGTTATTGTGTTTGATTGTTGTTGAAGGTGTGAAGACCTTCGGATATTTACCCTTTGAATATTGCCAAAGAATTCTATATTGAAAGGATTGGATATAGAACTGATTATGTTTGCATAAAATCCTCGAACCCTCGGATCTACGTAACAGTTTGGTGTCAGAAGTGGGATTTTATGCCAATAACGAGATCAATGGATGTACAACTGAAGGCTCTGTTGGAAACCATCAATTCTGTGAAAAACAGCCAAGAAGAGACTAAGCAAGAAATACAAAAAGGCCAGCAAGAAAGGCAGAAAAGTCTGAAAGATATGCAAAAAAGCCAAGAAGATACAAAGAATGAGTTAAAGCAATACATGCAGAAAGGTCTGGATGATACAAAGAATGAGTTAAAGCAATACATGCAGAAAGGTCTGGATGATACTAAGAATGAGTTAAAGGATAGAATGGAGAAAGCCTAAGAAGAGACCAAGAAAGGTCAAGAAGATCTGAAGAATTCTTTAGAAAAGAAAATCGACACTGTTGATGAAAAAAAATCAACAGTGTGGAAGAGAAAATAGCATTGAAAGTGGAAGAAAGAGTCGGATCAGTTGAAAAGAAAAAGGAAGAAAGAGTCGGATCAGTTGAAAAGAAAAAGGAAGAAAGAGTCGGATCAGTTGAAAAGAAAGAGGAAGAAGAGATCGCTATAGTTGTTTGAGAAAATAGAAAGAATTAAAGAACAAGTTGAATAAACAATTAAAGAGCAAGTCGAAGAAAGAATTGAAGGAGGGGCTGAAAATTTTAGCCTTATATCACAGTGAGTAGAAGGTCTCGAAAAGAAGCTTCTAGTTTGTGCGAATAAGAACGAAAGCAATACTTTGCCTTAATCTCCAGTACCCGTGTCAACCTCTCCGGTACCTGTGACTGCCTCAACATTGTCAGTAAAACTGTCGACCTATGACGGAAAAACGAACTGGGAAGTATACAAAGCACAATTTTGAATAATTTCGGAAGCCAATGGATGGACTGAGGGTGTAAAAGCTTGCCAGCTAGCAGCATCTCTTAGAAGAGAAGCTGCCGAAATAATGCAGACCCTTCCCGACACAGAGCGACTGAATTTGAACGCCCTGTATAATGCTCTGGATCTTCGGTTCAGCCAAAAATACTCCAAGGACTACGCGCGCCTGCAAATGAAAACAAGACTCCAGAAAACCGGAGAAAGCTTGCAGGAGTATGCCTCTGAAGAAGAAACGCTCGCCAACTTGGCTTTCTCCGATCATCCAGCAACAGGGAGAGAAACAATCTCTTTACAGTATTTTGTGGACGGCCTGAAGGAGGGCGAAATTCAGAAGGCTGTAAGAATGAAAGATGTCCAAGATCTTAAATCTGCACTGTTATATGCCCTAAAATTGGAGGTTGCCACTCAAGCCAGTCGCAAAGATTGCCATTGCATCCAAGGAGCTAGAGTGACCTTAGAGGATCCCTGTGAATCTCCATGGAAAACTGACATTGAGAAATTAAGAGATGAATTTCAAGCTTTTAAGGCTCAACGTCAGAACTAAGAGAAACGCAACTTCAAGTGCTGGGAATGCGGTGGAATGGACACCCAAGAAGAAACTGTCTCCGATCAAGGAAGGATGAGAACATCGTCTCTTCTTTCAAACAGGAAAACTAATATATGGCCATCTCGCGGGGTGGAGGTTGCCAGATAATGGAAAGCCCCATTTCAAAATTCTTCAGATTACGGCAGTAAATGAAGGCGACAAGGGACTTTACGTAATAGGAAAAATTAATAACATCTCGTGCCGTATGGTTGTTGATACAGGAGCCAATGTATCTATAATTAGAAAAGATTTGTCTTAAAACTCACAAGTTATTATTATCTGGACGCCCCGCCCAGCGTTTCCTTGCAAACAGTGACGGGTGACCAGATTGAGGTTCATGGGAAAGCTTACATCACTCTAAGGTTTGGAAACATTGACTATCACCATACGGCATATATAGCAGATATCACCACCCCCTGTATTTTTGGACGGGATATTCTTAAGACAGCGTTTCTCAAACTGTGGGGCGCGCCCCCTTGGGGGGCGTGACAACTGTACAAGGGGGGCGCGAGCTTATTGAAAAGTCAAAAACAAAAGATGATTTTCATAAAGTTATTAATTTACTAAAAGTAAACAAACAAAATAAAATCTGACATAAAAAATCAAATGCACATTTACACTGAGTATTGCACTTATAAATATATCAGTGCTACACAATGTGTTTTTATAATTAATTTACCAATACTAAGTTAAGAACAAGTTTAATAATTACCAGTGACCTATGGAATTATCATATATATATAATTATATACAAAAATTAACACTTATCTTGATAATTTGTACGGTTTATAATAAATCCCTTAACTACCGATTAAAATTTACGGGGAGAAAAGTAATAAATAAAAGCAATAAAAAAGAGCCCCTCGAAATGAGTAAATTCAACGCAAACAATGTCAAGGTCCTTTTATTCAGTTTCCAAACTTTCGGAATAATTTTAGGAATAGCAGAGCACAGCAAAGATCGTACTTCGAAAAGACGATTATATACGTCCGCTGCAATTGGTACACTTGAGTAAGACGTTTATATACGTCAGTGGAACTTCAGAGGTTAAAGTCGTATATATCGTAGTTTTAGCATCCAAATTAAGTATTATTGAATTCAATACATTGTTATTGTGTGAGGGGGCGCGATAAAAATTATGATTGAATATTGGGTCGCGAATATTGAAACTTTGAGAAGCACTGTCTTAAGAACAATAACTTTAAACTAGACTTTGAAAATAGAAATATG